CTGCAATGGGGCGGTTACGAATAATCCAGGGATGGAAGAGAATTTGCGTAGCAGTGGGGCGTCGCTGGGGGTCCCTTTGCAGCAGGCACAACACGAGCCGCTTTGCTTCCTCCGACACTCCCGCCCACTCCTCGCCACTTAAATCGACTAGTCCTTTAAGCACCTCCACAAACACGTCTTTATCCGTGGGGCCCCAGAAAGGCGGCGCGCCGCAGAGCAAGATGTAAAGGATCACGCCCAGGGACCATACGTCAGCTTCTAACGCATATTCGCCTAGGAGGACCTCGGGAGCCATGTAGAACGGAGATCCCGCGACGCCCATAGCGCGATCGCCTGATTGGAGGGGAACCGCGAGGCCGAAATCCGCGAGTTTCGTGGTTAGCGGTGCGGAGGCGTCGCGCGTGAGAAGGATGTTTTCCGGCTTGAGATCGCGGTGGAGGACGCCTCGCGAGTGGCAGTGTGCGACGGCCGATGCGACCTGCGCGAACACGTTCGCAGCGTCGCGTTCGCTCAGTCGCCCGCGTCGCACGACTTCGTCGAACAGCTCGCCACCTTCGCACAGATCCATGACCAAATGCACCGATTGCTCGTCCTCGAAAACTCCGCGCAACTGTACCACCCCGGGATGCGCCACCCCCTGCGCCTCCCCTGCCTCCCTCTCTCCGCTTGCGCCAACCCGCTGCATCAGCGCAACTTCCCGCCGCACCTCCTCACGCTCCGCCTCGCTTCTAAGCCTGTCCTTGGAGATCGTTTTGCACGCAAAGCGCGCGCCTGTGAGCCGCTCGGTGCAGCGTCGCACGGTCCCGAACTGACCGGTTCCTAAGACGTGAGAGTCTAACGAAAAGAACGTCTCGAGGCGCGCTGTTTGGAACGGAAGGACCTGGCCATGTGACCACGGCGACAAGGGCGACGTCGGCGACATCGGCGACGAGCAGAGATCCTGGGCTTGGTCGACCCATCTCAGCTGCGGTTCAGGCTGCGATGAGGCGTCGGACCGCTGTTGGTGCTTCCTCTGCGACCTTACGGTATGAGATTTTCGAGTGTCGCGCACGCTGCTGTGGCTTGTCGGTGCCTGCAGAGAGAAGTTGGCCATTATTGCTGATCGTTTCTGAATGAGCTGTCGTTTTGCATTAACGAAGAGTGCTATGGTCGCCCAATATTGGAATATTAAGATGCCGCAGGATACGAGTTAGCACTTGAAGATCGAGCAGCGAGTGCATGAAATAACCAGATGCGGACTAAAAAACTGGCTTTTGTGGTGAGTACCTGATATGTCTTACTGCTGCACAGCACATTTATGCAGTGGCCCAGAGTTTCGAAGACTGGCGTGAGCGTGACGGCGAGATTTCTCAGCCTTTCCAGAACGAACCGCCTCGACTCACTCACAAGTCATGGTGCTTCTGGTTGCTTCTGGCTCACGCTCGCGCCTTCCTTTCCCTCCGTCCACCAATGCCAAGGCAGTTGCTGTAAGGCGAATCGCAGACCACACCTACTGCCAATCAGCGATTAGTGCAGCTGTCTTGTTTGAGCCCACACTTGTCGCCTGGCCGTCATCGTCAAGGCTGAAGGTGTCGTCGGAAGCAACGAACAAGGCTCAATGAAGGGTGCAGAGAGCCTTTGCGCGATGTCAATTTCGGTTCTGTGACTCCTGTCAGTTGCTCGGCGACAGTGACAAGGCGAAATGTTAGTTTGAGTGTGGCGTGGCAATGTGCTCTGATTGGTCTCGTACTCGCTCCGCCAATCTCAACTTATCTTGCGTCAGCTCTGCACGGCACGGCAATTCCCATAACCGTCGCAGAAAGCTGATGGAGGCTTCCATGCGATGCACTTTCGCAGACGATTCCACTGTCACGTAATTACTCGTTACAATCTGTGCTGAGCTGATGGACAAGTGAAAGGAAAACACTTTTTTCGAGGCCTTTCGCCATAAGTTGGGCATCAAGTGTACCCTGACGGAAACCCCAAAGTAGGGGACTGCGCTTCCTCCACACCTCGGCAGGGCCGTTGACATCACACTCGTCGGCCTGTGTGGCAAAGTGAACCACTTATCTTGCCTCTCCAACCCTCGGTGTCCATGGCACCCCCATCCCACTGAGTTATACCGGCCAATATCATACATACTCAAAGTATGCCCGAAAATGTTTGCAGGTGTAATCTAGCCAACAGTAATCCGAACAGTGGCACTGTTCCCAGCAGAAATCTGTCTTGGCGCGCCACCCACAGCTTCACCAGTTGACCCACGTTGCTTCTGTACAGTGAAGGCACCACAGTGCAGGCATGTCAGAAGCGAATCCCACACCACACACGCATCTGTCCACAAATCGAGCCCCCCAACCCAAACCAAAGCGGCAGCCTCCCCTCGCACCCAAAACGAACCTGCGGAAACCAAACCAATTCCTTCCCCCCCCCCCCTCCTTTCCCCAACCCCTCCCACCCACCCCCTCATTTCCATATCTCACTTGGAAGTCCCTCGCTGTCGAAATGTGAGTGTCATCCAGCAGGCACAGAAAGCATTGAGCTTCGAAACCCTAAAGTCAGGTTTCCTGGTTTCTTAGAAACATGGCAGAAAGTCAAACACCCGTAGAGTACAATCCAGAATGCTTTGATTAAAGCTGTCAATGGCCAATATCAGAAGGTTATAAACTCGTGTCTTTTTAGATCTTTCATCGTAATGGCTTACGTACGAAGGACAAAGGGTCCATAGTGGTCATTCTACATTGTAAGTGTCTTATTCTCACAATGTCTTACCTAAGTCTTCGTTGTCTTCAATCAACAGTTTTGGTGGTCCTAATTCCATACGCCTTAGGGTGCCAACTCTAACCGATCAGGCCGCTACCTATATTGTGACAGCACTTTGGTGAGGGTTACGGCAGTACTAATTGCTAGCATTTTCCAGCCGCACCCGCCCTGCCCTCTTTCCGCCCCCTGCCCTCCTTCCGCCCACTGTCCTCTTTATGTTATCTGTTTTCCTTTTTTCTCTTTTTTTTTTTTTTTTTGCGCAGATGGATAACCGCAGCAGCACACTGGATTTTGTTGTAGGAAAGCGCTACAGCACCGTTATTGAGGCACGGGATGACATCAACAAGCAATGTCATCGATTGCAGGTGCCCTTCGTCATCTCTCAGAATACAACAGTGAGGTTGGATGCGAGGTGTCCTTCAGTTGTGAGTCGTTCCACCAGAGGCCGTGTGCAAACGACAGCTCTTGGCTTCCGTTGTCCTTTCAAGATCAACATACGGACCACAAGCTGTGGCGACTTGCGAGTTACGGATACACACCTACTGCACCATACACGATGCACTGCTCGTCTTCACAATGCCCATAGGAAAACTCTGACTGCTCTGGCAATGTCATTGCCAACAGGTAGCTTGACGCCGAATGATCTGAGAAATGAGATGCAGCAGCGTCATGGGGCAAAAGCATCATATGCAACAGCATGGCGGGCCCTTAGGGACCTGAAAGAGAATGACCCCTTGCAAACTGAAAAATCCTACGAGTTCGTCCAGAGCATAATGGAGAGGCTCGTGGCAAAGAACCCTGGGACTTTGGTCTACTTGAGCAGACGAGAGGGTCGTTTTTTGAGTGCTTGTGTAATACCAAATGTTGCGCGGTCAACGATGTTGAACGCTGTGCCGATACTGATTGTTGACGGATGTCACAATAAAACAGTATGGGGGGGGCACACTATAAACCTTGTCGTACTTGATGGGGATGGGCACTATGTGTCGGTGGGCATAGCTTTTGTCGAGTCTGAAAGCGAGGAGGGATGTTCTTTGCCGTTAAGGCTGCTGGTGCGCGCATTTCCAGAGTTGAACTCTGCGTCGTGGACAGTGAAGCACGACCGTGCCAAGGGATGGGATGCCGCGTGTCGTGCGGTGCTTCCGAATGCACAAGTTTCGTATTGCGTGACGCACCTGACACGCAACTTCAAGGCGAAATTTGGGCTCGATTTGAGTCAGCTCATTCGGGACGCATCCGAGTCATTGACGGAGCAGTTGTACGACTTTCGCATGAGAAAGATAGAAGCACAATGTCCTGGTGGTCGAGCGTACTTGGAGGGGGAGGATGGGCAGTTGGCTAGAAGATGGGCAACAGCCAAGTATCCAAGGCCAAGGTTTGGGTGTCTTACATCCAACCCTGTTGAGTCTCAACACGCATCCATGTCTACATTGCGGGATAAGGCAATTGCCTTTGTGATTTTAAGTTGGGCGCTGAGACTCGCACTAACACGTTGCGATCGGTTCACGGCATACTCCAAGACCTCGGGGGAATGGAGCACAATCGCAACGGAAGTTGTGCGTGCCAACTTTCGCGATTCTGCAAGCTACACAGTGCGCGAGCTTCCACGAGGGCGCTGGCTGGTCGAGCACTCGGAACGCAATGAAGCTCGTATTGTGGACCTTACAGACGAGACGTGCACATGCAACTACTCCAGGTATGTGAGGCTGCTACTAGCGTTTAATTTAACTATAACACTTTCCTACTTTGCTATAAATGATCAACATCCCTGCCAGTTGTCATTTTCATTTCCTGTACAAACATGTTGTCATCTTTACCCCGAATCTCTTGTAGGGAATATGGTCTGCCCTGTGTCCACATTTTTGCGGCATCGGGGGAAGATAGTCAAACATTTGACCTGGTCCATCGGGTCTACAGACTGGAGACGCTTAAGGCTATGTATGCTCAGGAGATTGAACCTTTGGATCCATCTTCTTGCACTCCCGATCGCACCACTCTTCCTCCGAAGTACAAGAAAAGGTCTGGACGAAGGAAAAACAAGCGCATTCGCTCGAGAGGTGAGTTTGACCCTCTCAAGTTGCGCAAATGCAGTAGGTGCAAGCAGAAGGGGCACAACGTCCGCACATGTGAGGATCGGGAAGAGGCACGGGCACGGAGAGGACAAAGGTCGGTTCAGGACCACATTGCCCTGCAAACAAGTGTAGTTCCACGGGTCGGTGGAACGTACATTGCATGCACGGCATGTGGGCGTCAACACAGGTTCAGAGACGATTGCCGTCGACGACAGCAGCAGGGACATGGTCAGCAGCAAGTAAGTGGGCAGCAGCAGGGAAGTGGGCAGCGGCATGGACGTGGGCAGCAGCAGGGAAGTGGGCAGCGGCAGGGAAGTGGGCAGCAGCAGGGAAGTGGGCAGCAGCAGGGAAGTGGGCAGCAGCAGGGAAGTGGGCAGCTGCCGGAAAGAGTGGGACTGCCCTTCGGAGATTTGATGCGGCAGAATGTGGATAGGCCACACCGTGTCCGTGGTTCGACCCCACCTGCTGAGTGGGTGGTTGAGATTGAGGACCTTGAGGAAGGTGCTGACGAAGAGACAGGTAGCCATGAAGAAGAGGAGGAAAATACGGAAATGGTGGACGAGCATCAGGGGCCTGCCGCAACGGTCATAGGAGGTGTGGACACAGAAGGAAATGCGGGAACACATGGTGATGCTCCAATGCTGGCATGCGAGGTTGGCGTTGACGAGGAAGAAGGCTCATCTGATGATGAGTGTGATTGTGATGAATCAGATGTTGAAGAAGGGGAGTTGCAGCTTGATAGCACCAATGGTAGGGAACAGGGAGTGACCTTAGAGGTCCTTACACTGGGAGATGCACAGCTGCAAATGGAGGGTCCATACGGTACCTCTGACGAGGTGCCGTCCGCGAACGAGACGGGCATGCAAGTACCTGGTCCCAATCCGAACACAACTGTCAACATCTCCCGCATTGCTAGCGCGGCCACAAACAGAGGTGCATTGGTGGGGGAGGATCTGAGCATGCACAATGATGGTCAAGTAATTTCAGACGGCCATGCACTCACAACAGGCTATATTACCCAAGGTGTTGGTGACGCGCAGCCGATGGATGGAAGCCCCCATCAGACCTCAAATCCAATGGCACCATTCTGGTCACATGTTCGTGTGCAACACCAGCCTTATGTCAATGAGCCAGTTGCAACGCGACGGCTAAGACGAAGACAGAGGTTCAGGTTACAGGTTGAGGTGGTCCCCGAGGAAGGTGAGGAGGAAGGGGGAGGGGCTGAGGAGAATGAGGACTCCGATCTTGGGCAAGGACACACACAGCCTAGTGGTCGAATGGTTAGGAGGAGACAAAATCAAGCTCAGCGTCCACGTCAAGGTGGTCGAGCAAATGGGAGATCAAGGGGACAGGATCCTATGGTTCAGCAGCAGCCTGATGCAACACTGTTGATCAAGCAGCTGCAGCAACAGGTGCTGCAGTTGCAACAGCAGCTGATGATGCAGCAGCAGCAGCAGCCACTGGTGCAACAGCAACAGCAGCCATTGATGCAGCAGCAGCCACTGATGCAGCAGCAGCAGCCACTGATGCAGCAGCAGCAGCCACTGATGCAGCAGCAGCAGCCACTGATGCAGCAGCAGCAGCCACTGATGCAGCAGCAGCCACTGATGCAGCAGCAGCAGCCACTGATGCAGCAGCAGCCACTGATGCAGCAGCAACAGCCACTGATGCAGCAGCAGCCACTGATGCAGCAGCAGCCACTGATGCAGCAGCAGCCACTGATGCAACAGCAACAGCAGCCATTGATGCAACAGCAGATTCCACTTCAATCCTGGGAATCAGGGCACTTTCAGGATGCAGGCCTTGCATACCAGCAGCAGCGCTATCAACGTCAACTGAGGCGAGAGTCAATGCTAACCAGGCGCTCGACACAGGGAATCAGTAGAGCATCACGTCAGGGCAGGTATCGCGCCGCACCTCACGCTGTCTCCCCCTATCTCTTGCTGACTCTCGCTCGCTCTCTCTCTTCGCAGGACTCGCCTCTTCTTCATAACATGTGCCTAACCCTTGTTTCTATTATTGCTCAACCTGCGTACCTTATTTTGGCAGGTGACACACTTTAGTGTATGCTTGACGGCATCAAGACACTGGCCCAGTAATTTAATGTTTTTGTTTCTGTAGCCTTTTACACCAAGAACCTTTTTAAGTATACGTATACAATTCCAACGTACAAAGTACATTAGCTGCCGAAGCGTAAAGGATTTATTTGTAAGGTACGTCTGTGAATTACCTGACCTACTCGAACCCCTATCGTATTTGGTAATCATAAAAATCCCCAACGGTGCATTGCTACACTAACCTGTTTTGGTTTGTCTTTATTTCTTTCTCTCTCTCATTCATATTCTCTCTCTCTCTCTCTCTCCCTCTCTCTCTCTCTCTCTCTCTCTCTCTCTCTCTCTCTCTCTCTCTCTCTCTCTCTTTCTCTCTCTCCCCCCCCCCCCCCCCCCCCCCCCCCAACTGAAAGTCACCCTACAATGGGAGACTACGGAGATGTTGGTGCAACCCTACGGTTTGCACTCGGCTTGTTGTCCGTGTGCGTGAATGTGTGTGTGTATGGAATGGTATGAGGGCATGGGATAATATATATTTCATGCTTATAATTGTGTGTGAATGTTGACTCATGATGTCGAGTGTGTGTGTCGAGTCAATAGCGAGTTATCGCTAGACGCGTGTTACGCGGTCGTTTGTGTCTCGCGCACGGTTTCTATTTTGTCGTGCGCGGTTTCTATTTTGTCCTGTGTCGAACGTTCAGCGTGTCGCAGGTGTGTGCAGCAGACCCATCAAGAACTCAAGGATGAGTTTGTGATGAAGAGCCCGAGCCTTGGTGTCAAGCCTCAAGTGATTTCGAAGCTTGCCAAAAGGGTACACCTCAAGATATTGAAGATAGTTACATTACTTTGTGTAGTGTAACATTTCACTTGGTGTAGGCCCTAGTGAAGGGTAGTTTCGAGACCCTTCGTGGTTGGGGACAGTGTGGCACTGTTCCACATCACTGTACCTCGGCTCTTGGGGTTTGTAGGAGCTGGGAGTCATTCCCAACTCGTAACTCTTCCTATCTTGTGTTCTAAGACTATAGTGGCTGCCATAGTACCGTTCGTTCAAACCGACGCTGTGTCGTCAATTCTTTATCAAATCGTGCAATCTAAATTGATAATTGTAGACGACGTGAAGACGCTCCAGATCCAATTTGAATCAAGTCATTTGCAGCTGTGAGCAGAACGCTATCAACGTTTGAAGCCGCTGTGCAGAAATCCGTCTGTGCTCTCTATCTTTCGTTTTAGGCACATTCAAGCCTATTGTGACTATAACAAGTGGTATCAGAGCCCCTTGGAGCAGTTTCGACAATGTCTGGACCTGAGGAAAGGGGTGGCAGAGGTCCTGGTGGCAGTGGAGAAGCTCAAGCTCAAGGCCAACCCCGTGATTCAGCCATGGCGCCCATGCAACCAAGTCTTGGCCCACCTAGGGATGAGCCTAGGGTGTTTGGGCTTGACAAGTTCAACGGTGACAACTTTGTTGAATGGTCCTTCAAGATGGAGAACATCTTTGACCACTATGACCTGCTGGAGGTGATGGAAGGAACGGAGAAGCGCCCCGAGAACGACCCGGAGAAGAGCCCGTGGGTACGGAAGAGCGCACAAGGCTATCTCTTACTTGGGCAAGCGTTGGGGAGCAGTCAGATCCGTCACATCAAGCCATTCCAGCGTGAACCAGAGAAAAGACCAAAGGCATGGGCTGCTCTCAAGGGTGTACATGCTCCTGCAACAGCGGCGGTAGCGGTGGTGTTGGAACGGCAAATGGCGGCACTACGAATTGAAGAAAACGAAGCGGTTGAAGAAGGGGTGCAGAAATTCTTCGACTTGTTGACGCGGCTTGAGGGAGCTGATTTGAACTACAGTGAGCTCCAAAAGAAGACCAAGTTGCTGGCCTTACTCCCAGAGTCATGGTCCTCGCTCATCATCAACCTTAATCGCGACTTGCCCCGCCTCTCGCTTGAAGACGTGAAGCGAGCTATCCTTCAAGAGGACTTCCGCCGCCGTGAGTTGGCGAGTGCGGATGGCGCTGGGGCAGCGAGCATCGGCCGTGGATATGGTCGAGGAAGAGGCAGAGGACGAGGGGGAGGAAGGTTTGGAGGCAGCAACTTCGGCGGAGGCCGCAGGAGTGGCGGTTACGGCAGCGACGACAAGAGCTACGGACGCGGTCGCGGCCGATTCGACGGCGAGTGTCACTATTGCCACAAGAGCGGACACATGTGGCGCGACTGCTACAAACTCCCTGATGGTTGGACCCCTGCTCAAGGCCAAGAGAGTAGAGGAGCAGGAGGAGGGAGAGGACGAGGCCGTGGAGGCCGTGGCGGTCGCGGTGGCAGAGCTGCAAACATGAAGATCGGAGACAACGACAAGGACCCGAGCGACGATCGATACCCGGGTCTATTCTACTTCGTGTCGACGCAAGTACCGGCTGGTCCAGAGAAGGATGAAGGCTTTGAGGAGCCAGCAGCTGTGGGGAAGGTGACCCTACACCCCCTGGACTATTGGGTGATTGATAGTGGCGCTACCTATAGCATGACACCTCGCCCGGACTTGCTCACCGAACTCGAGCCGTCACCGGTGAAGCATGTCACATCGGCTTTGGGGCAGCGAGCAGATGTGAAAGGCATGGGCAAGGCCATGTTCAAGGGTGCTGATGGGAAGATGGTGGGCCTCAAGAACGTGCTTTGGGTGCCCAGCCTTGCTGCAAACCTGATTTCCGTGCGGCGGTTGGCAAAGGCCGGCATGGACACGAACTCGAAGGGAGCCAAGACCTACACCGCAAGGCTTGGCGATCGAATTCTTTGGGACCTTCATGAGGACAGGGATGTCTACAACGAGATGTGGCAGATCCCAGTGGTCCCTATGCCTAAGGAGAGGCAAGTGGCAGCAAGCATCAGCACCAAGGATGGAGCGGTCGGTAGCGACGATGGCGCGAACGGTCGCGCTAAGGAGAATGAGCTCAAGAAGAGCAAACCTGGAGGGACCAGCAAGTTCAGTGAACCTAAGGAGAGTGGTGCAGCAACCAAGGAGCAGCAAAAGGGTGAGGAGAACCCAGAGGCAGCAGCGGAGGAGGACTACGGAGAGAGTATGTGGGGCGCTATTGCGAGCGCGGCATTCTCCAATCCAACTTCGGCTACGGGGGAGTGTGATTGGCTCACCTTGCATCGGCGCATGGGGCATGTGGCCCTGCCCATCTTGCAGCAGCTAGTGAAGAATGAGATGGTTGCTGGCATACGTGTGAAGGGGGAGCCCGATGAGGTGCTTGGCTGCCCGACGTGCATTCAAGCCAAGTTCACCCGGTTTCCGTTCCCTAGTTCGGAGGCAACGGCAAAGGCACCGCTTGATGAGGTGGTGATGGACGTGGTGGGCCCCCTGAAGCTTGGAGCTGCTGGAGCTGAGTATTTTCTCACCATTGTCGACGTCTACACCCGCATGACTTGGGTGTACGTGCTGGCCAAGAAGAGCGACGTGGCTGAAACGTTGAAGACGGATTGGTTCCCGATGGTGGAGCGGCAACAAGACCGTCTAGTCAAGTCAATCCGCACCGATCGAGGGGGAGAGTTCCTGAGCAAGGAGTTTGGGTTGTGGCTGAAGAAGAATGGTATTCGGCACTCCCTCACCATGCCATAATCCCCTGCAATGAACGGCATCGCCGAGCGAGCGAACCGCACAATCACGGAGGCGGCACGCGGGTTGCTCATTGAAGCCGGGCTACCCGACTATTTCTGGCCTGATGCGGTGCGGAGCGCGTGTGTGGCCAAGAACAGAGCCTTGACTCATGTGGGAGCAGACAAATGGGTGCCCTATGTGGAGTGGCTAGGAAGGAAGCCAAAGGTGGATATGCTTCGGGTGTTCGGGTGCATGTGCATGGCGCTCGTGC